AAAGAAAAAAACAAACCTTGAGTAACTGTACATTGTAATGTTTGATTATGCCAATCAGCTGTTGGTGTAACACTTGCTTCCCAAGAAAATTTTTGTGGAAATGTATTAGTATTTGGTAGGACGCTCTTGCCATCATTCATTTCGTGATGATTATGAATTATTTTATGGCTTACATATGGATAGAAATCATCAACTGTACATTTTATTGTTGTTTTAGCATTTTCTTGTATTGGCCAACCAGGTTCAATATGCCATCTAGGTTTAACTATTCTCATAACTTGTAAAAATCTTCTTTGCGGTTCTAGCTGTTGTTCACAATTAGGACAATCGCAGTCATACCGCGCTGAATCTTGTAATTGTAAATTTTTAATACGTAAGTGATTTTTTTTAATATATTCTATACGTTTATTAGAATTTTTTTTAAGTAAATCCGGTGCATCATCTGGTGGTTTATTTATAAATAAACGTATTATTGGTGTACGTCTACTAGTTTTTAAATCAACATACCATAATTGTGGTATTGTTGTATTATTATTTGGATTAAGTAATTCACATAGAATATCAATTTGATGATCACTTGTATAATATTCTTCATCGGGAATGAATGTTAATTTTAATGATGGTTGATCTGATTGTATTGAAGGATTAATAATAGTTAGAAAGATAATTAATATGACAAACATATGTATTTTTGATCCAACAGAGAAAAACAAAAAAACTAATGTGGTCTTACCATTTATGTAAAAAACTAAAAAGAAAAATAGCAAGGTATCTCCATTGATAGAAAAGGATATATGTATCATACAAATATAGATGTTTATATATGAGGCGCAGAGCAATGTCAACCATTTAGGAATTAATTTACTATGAGATAACTCGTCTATAGAGCAAAAGAGACAAGACGAAGAAGAATTTATCTATATTTTTTGCTCGATTGAGTGTCTAATCTGTGGAACTGTGAAAAAGAAGATAGACATTGCTAAAACCTTGGTATTTTCCCAAAAGTGCAATATAACATTGTATATCAATCGTCGTCCTTCTTCTGATTGCCGTTGTCCTCTTGGTATTGATTTATTGAGTTGATGTCTGTTTATCGCTTTCGTAATCCCACAATGCCGCATTGCTTTCTTGCGTACTACAGTTGTTTCTGATTGAGATATCATGTCACCTTTACTTTATTAGTAACTATGTAACCACTTTAGTTACTATTCACAAGTAACGAGTAACTACTGTAATTGAGCTATTTACCAGTATGAGGGCTACCTCTCATTTTCAAACAGAAAAAAATAAAGTTCAATAAATTAAAATTTTTAGAATTTCATTTAATATAAAGTTGATAATTTATTAATTTTTTTCTAAAATGATTAAAATTTAAAGTTTACTTTTAAAAATTTGATTATTGAAAACGCATATAGAAAGTAAATTTGTTTGAAACATCTTAAAATTATATTTTGTCTTAATTAGGCTTGCTGCAATTTGTAGAGGACGTTAGCTTTTGACAATGGAAAATTTTCAAACTTTGAACAGTTACTGCAATTTGTAGAGGACACAATTTTTTTATAACAGAGAGTTTTGAACTCTAGATATCTAGTGCAATTTGTGAAGAACGTTAGGTATTGATTGAATGAAGATTTTCTGTTGGACTTAACTAAAAAGAATTTAAAACAAATGCAAGATTGGAATTGACTTGCTGATTTCTTTTTCTTTTTTTTATTGATAAGCTAATATTCATAATGTACGAGCAAGGGTTACTGATTTGAACTTGGCTAAGAACAATTTTAATTAAAGGCAATGCGAGCTTTTACAGAGATTGTATCATACTTTGTTGTGATAATTCAATATTTATTTCGAATGGAATGTGGGTGGATCGGGCTGCGTTCGTCAAGTGCAGACTTTCATCAACATCCATGTTGCAAAACTGTCCTTTTTCGAACATCATCTTTTGTATTTTTGAGTTTTGTATATAAATGCCTTTATACCTCAATTACTAGTTGTCTTTATTCGATGTTTGATTCCATTTTATAATGACAATTAGATGGTACATTCAAATTCAAAAACAGTTCACGACATTCATAGTAACAATTATCTCTAGTGAACCCTGTAAAATGTAGTTAATTTAATTTAAACAAAGTAAGCATTACTATAATTAGCAAACTCTATAAATTACAGATAGTTGTAATACTGAAGATATCAGCTTTATTAAAATTGTTCTCAATGAATGTCTAATAATTTAACAACGAAAATTTAAAACTTCAGATTGTTTTCAATTTGAATTGTTTTAATGGAAAAATTTTTTAATTTTCGATTTTATGTTTGCAAATGATAAGACACGGTAGTTGGCTAAATACTGTATTTATGCATTTACGTATATTTCAGTAAAGCAAAAGTGAAGTGCGATCCGAAGACTTAAAAGTCATCTCCAGTGGATTGCACTAAAAATGTTGCACACTTTTCTCACGCCGTTTGAGTTTGTGAAGAAAGTTCAATTAAATTATGTGTGCAAGCTTGATTCACATTTTCTCGATTATAGAAAAGATCATAGGAATTAAAATGAGCTTGTGTATTTATTTGTTTGATGTGTCAAGTCATGTGTAATGACAGATATGTTGATATCGCTATCTCTGTCTACCAGTAGACTAAAAGAATTTCGGTATGTTTGTTGAAGTCTTTTGAGCAAGCTGCGGAAGATGGGTTGAATTTTCTCGTCGTATACTTCAACACTCATTAATAATCATGTGTCACAAAAATATCATAATAGTGAAACAGCAACCAAAACTAATTTCTGTAGCGATTGAGAGATCTTTTGACTAATCAAGAGTTTGATTTGAGTGTTATCGGATGAGAAAAACGAAAAATGACACATGTGAATCTACCAGTCGGTTTAATCCGGTCTGACCAATTTAGGCTGGCACCGACAGAGAAAAAACTTCTATCAGCTACAACTTTGATATGTATCTGTGCTTATATCTAAAATTAGATTTTATGTTGCTTAATCGAAAATGAAAGTTTTATAAATGTTTCTTTGTAAATTTCAGGATTCCTATAATCATATTTTTATTTGAATAAAACTAATAAGCAAATGATAAAAAATGCTTTGTCTCTTTTTTTTGCAGAAACACCATTATCAATGGTTCATGTTAGTGTTTATCATATGTACAGATACTCGTCGATTAGTACCACATTTTTTCTTTCAACATCAGGTCTAAATTGTGTGCTTGGAATAGCGTGAAGATCTTTTTTTCTCGATTTTTCATCGAAGTGTCATGTATTTTCCATTAGTTGATGGAATTATGACAATGAAATACCTGTCGTGATCGAACTAAGCCGAGCTCCCTAATTTGGCCACAAAAGTATCGCAGTAAAAAGAGTTATAATCAGAAATAAGATCGATAAAAAAATATAGAAAAGCATAAGTTTTGGCTTGAGGAACTGAGTAATATAACTTTCCGGCACTCATTACTTAGTAAGCAGTATTAAATTTATCAGCAGTTTCCTGGTAAAGTAGCAGACTGGTAACGATCATCGCTTTTCCTTGGTATTACCGAAATGAGATAATCAATTAAATATCATTCACTTCATAAATATTGTAATAGAATTCTTGTTCAAGTTTTATTTATTTTATTAATTCATTTTACTGAATTGCCTTAATAGAATTACACGTAAGCTACATCACCAACTAACGTAGGAACACTAGAACATTAGTGAACCGAAAATAAATGAATAAGTGCGATATTTAGTAATTTACTAGTACTTAGTAAACACTGTGCTGGTTTATTTACTAATAAAGTAAAGGTGACGTGCTGTTGTTAATGGAGATTACCAGTAGCCAATATCTGAAAAGTTATAAAAGCTGCCCTTGGGTAGCTTATTAACAGTGGGACGATGAACCGCTATCATGTTCGTGTCGAATAGTTCCTCATAGCAGAACTATTAGCCAACTGTTATACCGCTGGTACGTACTACAGTTACTATTAATAGAAACTACGTAACTACTGTAGTTATTAGTTAACACGTAGTAAATAAGTAACTATTGTAATTACTTGACCGCAATTACCTCAATAAAGAGTAAAATAAATATGTTGCCCCTAATTGTTATTGTTGCTGTTATTTTAGACGGATGTAGTTGAAGGAAACACTCGCTCACAGGCACATCTTAATGAACTATTGTTCATATATTCTACAACAGAATGTCTAATTGCATGTTTTCCTTATTGAAAATTTTTTGATGGTATGCATTTTGTTCTTTTACTGATACAATTAGCTTTCAATATTTGTTCAAACAATTGCTTATAATATGTATCTCTCCTTAAAAGCAGTCTTTGTCTTATGTATTAAATAAGATTGGCTGTTCATTATCAATTTTTCAATGAGACAAATGAACACATGAAAGCCATGTGTTCATATCGATCAAGTACGCTTATAGAAAATTCCAATTGTACTATTGATCTAGATTGCTACTCTCCCTTTTCTCGAAATAACTGTTGATTCTTATTGTTATTGCTCGTGTCGTTTGTGTCAACATAGTCGACGTGTGCATGGAGAGTATTTTTTCATCTGTTCTACTATGTAAGAAAACGAAAAATGCTGCCTTCGACAGTAAACTTAAGCAAACACGTCCAACATCATATTGTTTCACTGTTAAAAGAAAAATTTAAAAAGATACAAGACTTTATTTTTCCAAGTATTAGTCCTTCATTGTGATGGCTACCAGCAAAAATCAACCGAATAAAATATCAAATTCAACAAAATCTGTCGATCAATCAATAAATTCTAATTTGGAGTCATTCGCATGTTTGTGACTAGATCAAA